TGCATACTTCATGAGCAAGTCATTTGTGAAGGCACGTAGTATCTCCTTTTGCTATGTAGAGAAGCTCCCTGCACCAGAGGAGCGTCAATCTTTCTTACAACCTACACATGCTGTATTCTCGCTTCATCTTTGCAATGCACATGGCATAGCATCTGGGCAATGCTGTAGGAAGAAAAATGGAGAAAATCCTTTAGAAAACAGAAATGAATAGAGGGGAACACAGAGACGGAAAGAGCGTGTGACTCACATGAAGAGAAACTAAGAGGGAGAAGGCAAGAAAGAGACAGACAAAAGGAATTGTTAATGTGACTTATTCTGGCGCTTGTCAATAAACTGTTGCTGTGGTGGATGTAGCCTACAACATGAGGGAAACATTTTGGGATTTTCCTCCAGGAGGACGTCTGCTTGAAGCATCAAGGTTCAAAGTGACATCGTGCAACACAACAGAGGTGCAAAAACACACACACAGAAGAAGACACATGCACGCCCACAACCACACAAATAGACCCATTATTAGACGGATCATTGTGTTCCTGACTTAAATTCAGCCTGTGGTCTTCTGCAAGCCCAAATCAGAGATTCGCACTCTGGCTACAACTACAGCTTCCAACAAATCCAACTACATATTTTCTGGCAGAACATGTTCACATCTCCATGTTTTTTTTTTTGAAGTCGTAAGTCAGCATTGTAGCTAAGAATCTGTTTCATTTTCTGCACTGTGTAATCTGCTCATCCAGTGCATGTTGGAGCTCGGGTGATTTCCTCGACAAGCGAGCCAGCAGCAAGACGCACACGTAAGCACACACAATCGCACCGACACACACACTGTGACTGGCTGACAGTATCTTTGTTCTAATCAGAATCTTAATTAGTCTGCTAGCAGCGTCCCATTAACATATATTCCTCCTAATTAACTTGGGACACACACATACAGAGCGACAGAGGCTGAGCCAGAGAAATTAATGATGTTTCTTGAAGTCGTATAAAAGGAGAAAATGAATTAACAAAGCAGAAAAACAAAAGTAAAGTTTAATCTATCAACCTCGTTCTTCCTCAGATCAGCTTAATAGCTTTGGTGGGCAAAGACCTTGCTCACGAAAGTCTAGAGATTTTAAGTTAATTCTAGCACTCTTTTCAGAGCAATGTTTCTGGCCTTGTCAAGTCAGTCACGTTACCTAGTTTCTGTGTCTGCATATTTCCACTGGACACATGACTGAATGGAAAACAAAACAGACTTATCTGTGAACACTCGACCAAAACAGATCTCGCCATTGACTGAAACGCCTTTAACCAGGAGTAAGTTGATGGCTGGAGAAAAATCAAGGAGACCATTCACATCTGATGGCAGACATCTTTTATACGTGACGACCCTGTCTGCCTGTGTGGCTGCTTTCCTTGCAGGTGTGGCAGAGGATCGTCAGGCAGAGTGGGGACACCTGAGGCAATTAGCAACACTGGCCCTGTGTGCCAGTGCACTCTTTATAAAAACCCTCTGGATCTTCAGTTGGCTCTGGCTCCTTCCTGAGACACACATTTTGGCTTCGGTTATGGTTTGTGTCTACACTATACAACACTGCATATACACTTTACACGCACCCACTCACTTACACTGCTGAAATGACTGACTTCACATGTCACTGTTAGATTATGTTAGTCTTTTTCATTACTTTAAACTTAATAAATATTTAATCAACCGTTTCATTGAATGCGTCTCCCTTTTTTGTCATGGCCGTTCGGCCCGGTTTGTGTCACACAACACATTCTCACCCCAATGCGTCAAATACCGCAGCTTCAAACTATACGCATCAAGTGATATAGTGGAATAATCTAACTACTGGGTATATTCCTTGCACTGATGGAGGCCACAAGACTAACATTATAATCCTTTAAAAACTCCAGTAAGTGGACCTTGAGTAGGTACAGTGGTACTTCTCATACTGTATGTAATGTGGGAATGTATTTATTGAAGACACAGTTCATGATCCAGTGTAAACAAATGTATTGCAGTGTGATGAATATAAAAAATTTGGACTGGAACCTTGGCTTCTTCAATTTCTTCGGATGCAATTTCTCACAAGGCCATGCTTTTTATATTACAAGTATCTCTCATAGATGAGTCACCCTCCACAATAAAGCTGGTATGATATATTGGCTAAACAAACACTGCTTTCTTTTCTTAGTCTAATCTGAAACACTGGATGATTTAGAAAAAATGATGCCGTGGGTTGTGCACAGACACGCACACACACTTAGGCTGTGGGTGAAAATGGTGTTGTGTGTGAAAGATGAAAAGGAGCATTTTTGCATTAGACTCTAATGTCTTTGTTGTAATGCCAGGCTTGCCTACAGTTCTGTGTCATGACTCATGTCCTATACAGAGCTCCTAGAGCTCTATTTCTACACCACTGTGTCTCGGTTTCAAATTCAGCGTCACGCTGTGCTCGTACGAAAAAAGCAATGGAAACTTGAAAAGGTCTTTGTTGCTATGGGATGCAGATTCTTTTGATTAAGCTGGTTTACGCTTGGCTACGTATGCATTTCAAACACGCACATGAGCTGGAGATGGGACAAAATGTGCCAACAAAAAACTTTCAGTGGAACTTTGGACTGTTTTAGTGCTTTGCCCAAAGGCACTTGAGTTTTTGTTTCATGACTTTTCATTCATCCCCATTTCTTTAGAAGCAAAATTCTGTCAGATATTTTAGAGGGTGCAGTCATGTGGCACTGCTTCATATCAGCAGTCTGTAGTGACAGATGTCTTCCAGAAACCACATTCACTCATTAACAGCTTCATGGCAGTAACAGGATTTGAAGCAGCACAAGACCACCAGGGTACAGATCACACATGACGCTTTTTTTTTCGTCAGTTTATGGTGATTCGGCATATACGTGTGTCATACTGGGGATCTTTGATCATGCCCACATGACTGGGAGGGAGGATGTCTGAGCATGAACAGGGTGGAAAAGTTTTCATCTTGTAAGTCAACGTATTTGGTTGTGGTGAACTGATCCAATATCATGTTTAAAACTGTTCTCACTCCCAATGCGTCAAATACTGTTTATCTGTATGCTTCACACCAGGCTCGCAACTAACTCCAATGTAAACACACCCGCGACCTTTCACGCACAGAGGAAAGTTATATAAAGTGTGAGATGGTCTACAGGGTGGCAGGCGAGATGGTTGAGTCAAACAAACACAAGACTTAATTTCTAGTAGACCGCTATCCGTGTCTAGTGTCCAATGTAAAGTTTATTTAGTAACTAAACTGACACTATGCATGTAACGAGTGTGTATTGACAAGTCCCTGACATGTTTAAAATTGATGCTACAGGGGTGCGTAGAGCGTCATTGGTTAAAGCTAGTTATGTAAGTAAAATAATATTAAAATATCCCTTGGCTTAGATCATAAAAGTGTTAAAGAGAAGATCATTAAGTTTTGGTATGTTAAGGTTCTCATGGTGAAAACAAACTGGCTTAGGTCACAAACTCAGGTTTCTGTCTCTGGATGCAAGTTTCTGTAAGATAGAAATAGACATGAGTAGGACAAGGCTGGTAAATATGTCCTCTTCCATCTTGAGACCTTGAGAGATAGCTCTAGTATTATAGTCTGACGGATTTAATGAGCCAGGCTGCAAGGCCTCTTTGCTGTGTTAAAACCTCCATAAAACTCTGACAAGAGTCCTTGTTCACAGCCAGAGTCGTGTTTTGTTTGAAGTTACACTTCTCCTTTGACCTCTGACAGCACATTCGTTCAAAAGTACACTGACTATTTAGCCTTTGGTTGTAGTCATCTTTGATGTGGTATACAATAGCAACACATGCTATTGATGATGATCTACTGTTGACATATGGCTTAATACCTGGTGCAGAGTCATTTTTACCAAATATATATGGAATACTGTAGCTAATAATTTATCAGCAGCCTTGATGCATTGAATGTGTGAACTCTAGAGTGCTTAAACACGCAATGGAAATTGTATATACCTTGTTCAAGGTATGCATTGTATGATGTCTTGATGAACTCAGTAATAATAGAAACATTAAAAGAAAATATTGATGTAATAATTATGAATTTCATGGAGGACGAAGCTCCTGATCCAAAAGTCTGGAATGAGGCAGAAAAGCCTCTTTACTGAATGTGTGGCAGGGAGTTGTAAACTGCCTTTTTTTTGTTTCAGATATAGATAAAGACCAACTTGTGAGAGTTGATCTGCTGTGTGGCAGCTGCCCTTAGATGATTGACAGCATAACTGGTCGGTATTTGTTTGAACCGTTCTCAAGCAGATTGTTAGGGATTTGCTGATACCACACTACTCGAGCAGGGTCTCTCGGCATCACATAAGCATTATTTCCATCAACATTTTAATGCGTATTACTGATCTGTGTGATGTGAAGCCTTGAAATTGAAATTGAAATGCATGAGCAGTGGTTTGGAAAGTTTAGCCACTCACTGCCAGCAAGTGTAGAGGTGACCTTGAAGCTGCTGAGCTATGGAATGAACTTTGGCCATCAGCATTAAATCCACAAATCACATAAACTATAAATGAGTGTACAGAATATGATCTGTACCATATTACGTTTTCCGCAAATCCTTTTTTAAAAGTACGGTTAAGTTACTGACATACAAAAAATTACAATTGTAGAACAGCTTGTACGCATAACGTACATGTACTTAAGAGAAACATAGTTTCTGGATATAATTTGTTAACCTTTTACTCTCAACATGGATGAGATTTGAGGGGAAAAAGAAGACACATTCCATACAACTTTAGCTGTGTTGTAAGTTCCGTGGTGTACTTAATACTAGTTATACTAATTAATAACAAGTGTCAGTGAAGATTTTAAATTTATCCCAATTAATTGTGTTATTTGAGGTTCTTCAAGCATGATACACTATAACTTGTAAACAGCTTATCAACAGATTTTCAATATAAATGTGATCACATGCCCACATGCTCAGTTTTTGCTTCCTGCAAGTGCGAAAATAAACACTCACAGATTTAGAACTGTATACAATATTTATTGACGATTTATTCATCTCCATAGGTTTTTCATAGTAAAGACAGACACTGACTTTTACAGGGCTTATCTTTGAGAAGGGTACAGCTCTGGGTTTCAGGGAATGTTCTCGTGAGTGGCACATACAGGGATTTTTCAAGGTGGAGGGTGTTGAGAGGGTAGAAGGATTAATGCTCCTTGGAGTGAAGTCCAGGGTAGCAGGAGGCTAAGGCTTCTTCTGTGAGTGTGTGCAAACATACACTGTCACCAAGATGTGTCATTTAGGCTTTTAGGATGTCAGTCTGTCCTTGCTCTCCAGAGAAGACTCTGCTGTCTGATGAAAACCTTGCATTTTTTCCAGGAATGAAGAGATAAAAGCCATTTTCAAACCATGTAAACCCATGTATTTTTTTCAACTTTATACAATGGATCTTGACTGGATTTTTTAAAACATACCTGTATTACGTTTCCAGAATCACTGGAGGACAATGTATTCATTCTGTATAGTATAAATGTGAAAATTGCCAAAATTGGATTTACAAGGTTTTGCCAAAAACAGTGTTTGCATTTTTTTTTTTTTTTTTTTTACACAGGAGTATAGAAGTATAAAAATATATGAAACAAAAAAGCGCTGTGAAGTACAAACACATTCAAAGTGTAGAACTTATGAAGCAGACCTTTCTTGCCAGGTGCCAGTGTGCTTTGGAAACACATTACTGTCTGGCGAACATGCATCCACCACACACTCTCACACTCATATACCATGTCATACCACATACAGTATTATTCTGAAATTTAAGAAATTTATATTGGATAAGTTGAGACATGTCCTATGGCTGAGGTGGATTTAGTACCTTAATGCATTTTCAAATATTTTAGGTGTTAAGATTCTGCCAATGCTAAAAGTGTGCCTTTCTGTTTTTACTGTAAATGTGCAATGTGCACAGTATGATAGGCCTTAAACAGAGAAAGCAAACACAGTACAGAGAAAACATCTGAGACAAGCTCACTAAGGTACTTGTCCTTAAGTACAATTCTTGGGTTTAATGTTGTAGTTTGTGGTTGTATTGTTGTTAGTGTGAATTGTGCTGACCTGAGATGGTTGACTTTCGGGCTGATACAAAGGCATCGCTAGCCTCTTTATCACTTGACCCTTTTGTGTGCGTGTGTTTGTGTGTGTGTGTTTGAAAAGGTGGTGTACGTTACGCTGTTTCCTAGCTGATCATTGGTACAGGAAATTGTATTACTTTTGCTGACACATTGCAGCAAATACATGCTGCAAACGAATATCAACTACATTCATGAATACAGTATAGGTTACATTTTGGCAAAACCAAAGAAATGTGCTTCGACAAACAGAGCAAAAGGAAAAAAAGGTGATCAAGTGACACTGTAAAATAGACTATTTACATAGTTCAAAATCAGCCTTTGCATTCTCTTAACATCACAGTATAAATTATATTGAAAATTCCATTGAAAGTTATTAGCTATTTATTTACATGATTAAAATGTTCCAATTGATGTTTCATATTATATTATCTGATATATACATATTTATTTAAATATGTTTGTTTTGCGACGAGATCCCAAATTTGAGTGCAACTCATCCTCATCTATAGAAAAAAGTACAATGCCAAAAATCGGTTTAAGTAAATCTCAGAATCTATCTCAATCCCTTTGTGTATGTTTTTTTTTTAATTAAAAAAAAATAAACAAAAAAGAAAGATGAGAAGAATTTTTTGACATAATCACCAGAACTATCAAAAACTCCCAAAACTAAACACAACAATTTACTTGCGCAGTTTTCAATACTTAGATCAACACAATGTGGAAATGGTTGATTTTGATGAGTAACATGTAAACACCAGTGAGGTTATTGTAAGTTAGAACTATGCACAATGTTCAATCAAAGCTTACACTTCAGTTGTTGGGCAGTGCTTGTGAAAATGCATCATTGTGTCATTCTTAAAACAGTTGGAGCTGTTACGTAAATGCTTTTTAGAAAAATGTAAATATTCTTAATAACATCATTAATATTTGAAATACCAATCAGATATAGTTTCAATAAATTGTAATTACAGACTTATGTATGCTCAATTGTGAATTGAAATAAAGCAAAATTAGTGGATTAAACACAAAAAAAGCACAAATTAATTGAAAGAATTTCGTGAGAAAGGACAGAAGTGAGCAAAAAACTGAATATCAAGGTGGTACTACTGTACAGAGCATGCAATGAGACGTAACTGTATGTGGCTACATTTTAAGTGACAAATTATAACATTAAGTGTTTACACACACCTTCACAATCAAAATGAATGGCATACCAGGAGTTTGATCTTTGTTATTTGGTAAACTCAAAAGAATCACGTGAGACAAAGGCTCCAGTTCCTAGTTTGCATTTTTGTGTGATTTGTGAAGGATATTTGGAGTCACCTTCTCTTCCTTTCTATGAACCTTTGTCACTCGCAGCGGCTCTAGCTCCTGATTTGGTACTTTGCGTATGCGGGAAAGAGGCCATAATGCCAGAATTCATTCATACGGACATTGTGGCAAATCTATAGGGAGAGGGATACGAAACTCTTATGTATTGCAGCCCTAGTTTTATTTCTACATTTGAACCTTGTTGTAACTGAAACATAATCCTATTAATATAGTTCCTCCCTGTAAAACAGTCCCCATAAGCACCAGGTATTAGAAGAACAATGCAGCCTCTATGGCTTTTAGGAACTTGTGTGCAAAATCTTTTATAAAAATCGACGTGTCCAAAACACGGCATCATTAGTAAATAATCTGTAATTATCTGTTACATGTTGGTTTGGGATTTACGGCTATATCCTTTATGAGCATCAATTTTCAATCTGGCAACAATGCACGACTTGGAGGTTTGTAAACTAATGATAATTATATGAATTTGGCTTGCTAGTCAGATGCGATGTATAAACTCATAGGCAACAAAAGGAAAAATCACCTGCAAAAAATATATATATTAAAATAATGTCAAAGGCTGATATTTGAAGGTTTGTTTGTGCTTTGTATGCATTGTGGCCTTTCTATGGACCGATAGAGTCCTTTAAGATTTAGTATCAGTGTTCTTGTTGAATCTTAGATAATAAAGTGCCTTTTTCAACAGTTCAGATTTTTTTTTTCTGTGAATGTGGTAAATACATATCCAGGAAGTCAGTATAGAGGGCTGATAGGGGAATTTTGTAGGTCATAGTATCCCTATAATAAAAGCTATACATGTGATATTTATGTATATATACATCTAAAGACTAAACTACTTTCTTCAGATGCAGTCTGAGACATTCATACTGTGTATATGTGTTTTGGGGTATAATCCAATATCAATAATTATAATAATGTATATTTAAAGCCAATTTGGCAAAAGACAAATATTTCATATTTTCTTTCTTAGTGCAATCTAAGTTAAAACCTGGAATTTTTGGAATGCTCTTTGTTGATATTACGTAATACTTCTGTATTAAAATGGTTTATGAACTGAGAAGATCCTTAGAAATTTATTAAATTATTATTTAGTATAATAAAGTAGAAAAAGATCGATACATTACTTCCATAGTACATTCTATTGTAAAATGTGAACTTCAGGCCCTTATAATATTAGTATGAAATCAATGCTAGTAACAATACATTTTGTGTTTGACATAATTCATCTTAAAAAACTCTGCTGACCTGAAACTTGCTTTAACACTATTTAAGTATTGTCGTTAATAGTAAATTATCATTTTTTGTCAACTGTCAATTGGTTTCTAACTGATATATTTTGGCAAAGATTTATGTGTGCTGTAGATCTAACATAATAAAAACATAAAAAAATATGCAAACAAACAACAAAATGGCAAGATACACAATGCACAGAGTATGTACAATTTAAACAATTACTCAGGAACAGGCACCTTATATATTTGTAATCTCTCTTTTATAAGGTTTTCACGTGTTAGCCAGCAAATAGGGTATTCCAAGATATGATGTTTCCAGTCCTGGATATAGTAATTCAGTCCAGTTTTACAAGATCAAATAAAAATGAAACAAACCGGATACAAACAACAAATGAGCAACATATTTTGCTGTTTGTTCTTGCACTCACTGATGTCCTTTGTTTCTTTTAATTGACGTAGTAAAGCCAGTAAACAATGTTGAAGAAGGAGAAGACAGTCGGGAAGATGATCCTCGACCATTTGTCAATAGAGTTTACATCAGTCAAGTCTGGGATGTTGATCTTTAGCTGTGAAGCACGCCTCCGTAGTCGGCTCTTCTTTTGAGTCATGTGGCACTCCAGCGTGTTTCGACCAAAGTTGTGCCTGGCCAGCCCTGCTTTGCGGTACTGTAGAGTCGAGCTATCGTATGTCAGCATGGTATTTCGTGGGTCGTTGAGACCCAGAGCCAGCTCTGAAACGCCCATGTCGTTCTTGATGTCCAAGGTGCCCAAGGTGCCCAAAAGGATGTTTTCATGTGGGTCCATCTACCCAAGAAAAAGAGTCAAGTTTGTGTAGTGTATTCATATCATGCAACAACAGCTTTCTCTATTTCATTTAACTATGGAGGAAAGGATTTTGTGTAACTAGGTAGCTCCTAGTGACAAACCAGTAGAGAATTATCATCATCTATAGAGTGTTTCAGCATCTTTGATCATTGTTTTGGTTTTACCTGCCAGCACCAAACATGGTAAACATGGAACTCCTAAGAATATTGGACCTAGATTCACCAGGCTGCCAAAAACACATGTTAAACCTCTCTCTGCTAGATGTGCAAACCAGTAACCTATTTTCAACTTAATAATGTAATAATATGTCAATGTTGTGTTTGTCCTGCTGCCTCCAAGTGGCCAAAATACTATCTAAATGTAAATGTGTAGTAGCAGTTTAACACAGTTTGACATTTCTTTAATTTTTACATTTTAGCATTACTTTGTTCTTTTGTTCGCCAAGTCCAATTGCTCCGTCATCCACAAAGATTGGTTCCCACATCGAGTCATGACCATCAAGATCCCTTTGTTTCATTCTTGCATACAGAGTATCGTCTCGGCCAACTACATTCCCCACCAGCCACTGCAAACATAATCACGATGGTTACTTGAGCAACTGAAAAGTTAATGCAAATACGTGTGGACATGAACTGCAGGTAAGGAATAGTGTTATCAGAGGATTCAAAACAAAAGTGCAGTTTGACTGACTGTCCTCCTTTGCCTTCACTTGATATTACAGGATATCAATGCAGTCAATGTTTTCTGCTCAGTAAGGACAGTGTTTTGTATTCAAATATCAGCACGTCCATGTGCAGCCACGTTGTGGTGGCCATTTTGTATCTCTGCTGGTAAGTATTTGGTCCACTTCACCTGGGAGCACCAACTGAGGAAGTGAACACAACTCTTTCTATCAAGACAAAGAGCCAAGTGGCTCTGAGACCTTCTTTCCCTCGGTTGCAGCTGGCAACATGTCTCATTTGTATTTCAAACAGGGCTAGTAGAAGCTTATTAGGCTGCCTTCCTTGGCACACTAAAGGCAGGAAACATTAGGTCAACCCTCTATTTGAAGTGGTGACATTTCTTTTTTTCCCCTTGTAATTATTCTAAGCTCCTTAGACAGCTTTATGAATAATTAAATTGAAATTCCACTGCAAAGTAAAGAAAATATGTGATTTTGTGAATCTAGAGCAACGAAAACTGCTGTCACTTGAAAATGTGAGAATGTGGAAGCTCATCATCGAGTCTGTGCCTCTACAGAAGAAAATGCATCGATGGAGGCATTTTTCAGAAACGTATTCTGAATGTGAGGAAATACAGGTTAACAAACTCCAGGCTATTTTTATTGTTTGAATCGTGCAAAATAAATAAACTAAACAAACTCCAGGCTAAGGTATTCTTACCTTGTTTGGATCCATCCTCATCTTTTCATTGTTAGCTGTAGTTAGTTTCTCAGCTGCCCTTTTCTGACGTTGAGGGCCTCGTCCAAAGAATATGTAGTTTACCAGCGCATACTCCAGCAGAGCCAGGAAGACAAAGACAAAGCAGCCCATGAGGTACATGTCTATGGCCTTGACGTAGGGGATTTTGGGGAGGGTTTCTCTCAGGTGGGTGTTAATGGTAGTCATGGTCAGCACCGTGGTAATACCTGAGGACAAAGACCAAATTCATTACATTATAACAGAAACAGTATGAATCAATAATGTTGCAGTTGAAAGTATGTCATTTTTATGTAATGCACTCACAAATTGACTTCTTCCATTTTTCTTTTTAGTAAATCTATAGCAACTAGAGACCACCCTGTGATGAGATCACACCAGCTGTGAAGCCAAATTGGGTCAGGGGCATAAAGTGGGGTATTTGACTTTCCATTGGATTTGTTTCTGTGGTTTTATCACATTATGTGCCACCATCATTTCGAAACGTTACTCTCTGTACTGTTCTTACTGAATGTGTGACAGTTTTGTGTTCTAGTGCTTGCGACTGCGAGACATCTTTGTGATTTACTTGATACCATGTCTGTGCTTCATTAAGCCTGCCAGGATCAATGAAACCAAGGGACTTACCCCCATGACATCAAACCATGCATCGGGAGACGAGCTAAAAGACGTGCACCTGAAGCGCTGCAGAGATTTGAAATTCAAATCCTTGCCCAGCAAGCTGTGGCTAATAGTTACTGTCAGATTGAATGTGCATATCAATGTGTTGAGTTTCTGCTTATTATGATTGACACACTTACTCTTGCTGATAGTCATTTAATTTCCTATTCTTGTTGTTTTTGCAAAGTAATGTCTGTTGGATGTAGTGTGCTTACAATGTGTGTCTGCAGTATTATATTGTAAATGGCATGAGAGGCCTGATTCTAAACCTTAAATGTGATTTTCCTTGCACAATTAAATAATTGTGTTCTCAGCTCTTATAGTGCTCACAAATCCTCCCACGCGCACCTGTCTATTCTACTGTGAAAGCACACAAAGCATCATTTTTTTAAGGCAATTTCTATTGAGAGTCTCGGTAAACAATTACTAAATTATTTTACAGCTGTCACAAAGCTTTCAGGTGACCAGCGCTCAAAATAGGATTCAGGCAATTTCCCCAAGCTGTTGCTCCAAGGGCTTAACAATAACAACAAAGGATTCCGACAGCACAGTGGCCATGTGATTCAGCCATTACAGGTCCATTTTATTGCCAGGAACCAGGTCAGGTAAAGTGGTTCCTGAATCTGGTGTAGACTAAGGGGTGACCCAACATTTCCCAACTCTGCTGACCCGCCTCCATTATGGAGTATTACCTTTTTTTTTTTCATTAAATCCCATGCATGCCCTACCCCCGGATCACTAAATGCAGCTCAGTCGGCAATCAGCGAAATTGCCTTGTCGACTAAAGCGAGGGATGGGTTGAAGGATGGATGAAGCTGGGTGGAGGGAGTTGGGTGAAAAGAAGACAGGGAGCTTCCAATAAACACTGAGGAAGCTAGGAGCTCAATACAAACCTCACAGGCTACACTGTCGTTACATATTTTAGGATGACGGGGGGGGTATTGTGACTACCAGAAAAGCTCAGAGGCTCTTGAATCAAGCGGAAACAAATCAAACTGGTCATCCACCATAATCTCTCTGTGGGATACAGCAACATTTCTTGTACTTGGATGGCTATTTGACCATGTTAACATCCACCGTGATTGTAAAAGAAGTGAAACAGATACAAATTAAAATGTAACTTTCTGCCTAATCCTGGTATGTAAAAGTAAAAAATAGGCACATTCCCTGTCAAAAAAATAAACTAAATGAAAATGAAAAATGTGTGGATCAGTGCAGTGCTATATTCAATGACTGTATAATAGCCATGGATAAAATGAATAAAGACAAAATGCACAGTAAATAATAAATCAATAGATAGATTTATACAGGTACAATTGTAAGATGAAATTTGAAGACTGGTAGAAATAATATATATATGCTTTATCCTTTGTCAGTATACTGAATGTTTCGGTCCATTATATTCTTGCCTGACTTAATGTGAAATATGTTCTAAATATTTGTTCCTCAACTTGTCACCCTCAGGTTACTTGTCTCCATTTGCCCTTGGAGTAAATTATGTGAACGTTATGAGGTAAGATTTTGAGGAAAAAATATAATCTTATGTTTAGCCTTTTTAAAGTGTCTACCCCAATCTCCTGTCATTCTGTCTATATTTGTATTGCAGGCCTCACCCAGAGCCACTCTGGCAGCCGAGGCGTCATAGTTGATCCAGAAGGAGACCCACGAGAGGATAGTGATGAGTATAGAAGGCATGTATGTCTGCAGGATGAAGTACCCGATGTTTCTCTTCAGTTTAAAACTAAGGGACAGACGAGGGTAAGCACCTGCAGAGAAGAGACAGGGAAGAAAAGAAATGTGATGTTTTTTAATTTGATCTATGGTAAAGGTACAGTATGGTTAAATGTAGGCAGTAAATCTTACTTGTTTATTAATGTTTGGGAATGTCATTTTTAAAGATTATTACCATCCAAGTTTACTACTAGTAGGCTATGGAGTAAGGATGCTAGCTTCTGTTTTTGTAGTCAGCCATTTTGGTGCACTTATTGTTAATCATAGGTTATAAATCATGTACAGAAAAGGATACCAATGTTCAAACCTCCTCTGTGGTTGACATTGTAATCCTTTTTTCACAACATCACGGTACATCTGCATTTGCTACTGAATGCTCTGGAGGGAGTCTCTCAAAAATCATAGAAATAAATAAATACTTAAATTATTCATGTATATGTCCATTTATTTTTTGTTTAATCCATGTACTTTTGAAAAAAACAGACTGAAACATTTTCTTTACAATTTCCCTGGGCCTTAAGTTAAGTTTTGTCCAAATAACAAAATAGAAAGACTCAAATCCAGAAGAGGGAGGCTAGCAATTTTACTACATAATAACCAAAAACAACAAATTGATTATAAACGTTGATGTGAGAAAAACCCTAAAATGTAGACTGTACTCTTCAACAGTTCTTCTTCCAAGCTCGTTTATCAACAATAGCCTCTAGTTCCTGGGTTGCAGAAGCAACTCAGTAAAATATCATTTCTGTTGTGTCCACTGAACTGACGCATCAGCGCTCTCTGGAATTACCCCTTCTCCACTGCCTGTTTGTACACAATATTGCAAGAAGTTTGATGGTTTGTCTGTTGAGGGGCCTCTTTTTTTTTTGCTTATCTTGCTCTATTTGAAATAAGCCCAGAGCAGGAGTTTTGGGTTGGGCAAATTGCATCACCACACATATTTCTCTCCTTCGGGAATTGGCTGTATTTTGGTTTGAGTTGCATTGCAACTGAATGGGGCAAGGCAACAAAAGAAGAGCTGGAATACACTGCAATATAAAGTTGATTGGAGAGTCATGCAGAAACAGAAGAGGGGCAATGAAGGAATATTAAGTCGTTGTAATGAAAGCATCAACAACCCACCAGCCTCCGCTCCTCTTAGAATGTCAAGGACCTGCTTTTTTATTTAGCTAATGCTAGCATGAGCCACCGAGATAATTCTTGAATCATTTCTTCATGAAGTGAGGAAACAGTTTGGGTAAAATGACAGAGCGGAGGTGTAACGTTAAATATTCATTAGGCAACAATGACATTGCCTATCCTTGGAGTGAAACATGTCACTTGTATTTGGTAAATGCCCAGGCACTTGTGCTGATGTTTGCATCTCTGTGTGCCCCCCAGGTCATTCACTCCATATCACAGTAGACAGCAAATTAAAAGGGAATCCCCGCTTACCATATCTCTGTATAAGGCAATAAAATCAGGCACACTGCAGGGACACATTGGGTAGCTTACAAACACATACACTCATGCATATACAAACATTTTGCATACATCAGAAAGCATGATGTTGTTAATAGGGTTGTGTGCAACGTGTGACCCCTGCAGACAACACTAGCCTTCTTGTTGGTGGAGTCGCTACGCTCTTACTGCGTTAGTGTTCCGCTCTTATTCTCTGCAGAATCCAAAAAGTATATTCAGCAGAACCTCTGTCCCGCTTACGATTGCATGACAAATTCATGAATGAGGAAGAGATGAATATTTTATTGTATCAGACAGTATTCCTTTTGTTTATTGCTGTTAAATAAGTCATAGTGTCTTCCATCTCCCAGGACGGTACTTCATTTGAAGGTTGTATGCGTGTTCGTACATTTACATATCATTTTGCCTTTCTGGAAATTAGTGGATGCTATTTCTCATCAATCAGTGCAAATTGTAAAAGGGTCAACAGTTGTGAACTTCCATAATGCCCTCTTTGCAGCAGCATATTAAGGAAATGAAATAAACCTTAAAGACAGAAAAAACCATCAACTATGATTCATGCATTTTCACTTGCTTGTTAGCATTACCTGTTGAGAAGACGACATTCTTGGAGATGAGGTTATGATCCACAATTGAAAACTGGGGCAGTTCGATCTTGTCCACCCCTGTCACAGCATTGACTCCTCCTCGCCAGTAGAACTCAATGTCATCTGTAGTGTAGCCATCTGAGATACAGATACAGAGCACAGGAATTACTCAGGATTGTTAATTGTTTGCACATTATATACTGTATATGCTCATAATCATGTCCCAACTGGATCCCGTACAGTCCAGTTAATTAATCACTTTACATGATTAGGTTTGCATTTATCACCATGTTAGATTCTGCTGACAGCAAACAAAGTAAATGGTCTTCGGTTCCCTGACTTAAACACATCCTTACTTTGTGGATAATCTCATATTTGAATCCAACTTTTTTGCATTTACAGCATGAATACACTTTGCTACGGATGCTTCATAAGGGCAAATTGTCGTCACTTTTTAACACACTGCTTTGTCACTTAAACAGTGTTTCCATTAAATAGTCCAATTCAGTTCATTACACATTATTATTTTGCGTTTCCATTAGCAAAATTTTTGCATCGGTCTAGCAGCCGGTACTTTTTTTTTTTACCACCTCGGTCGAGGTTCCCAGCAAGCTGAGTCAATACTAGATGGTCGAATTTAAGCACTGCAGACCATTGGTTGGTCAGAGAGAATTGTCACATCTCGCACAAACCCGTGATCTTTAAATAGCCAAGCTACCGTCAATAGTGACTATGGTTTTCTATTAATTGAAACCAGATTTAAAAAAAAAAATGGCAGCCCCCAAACACTGTGCCATACACTACAACAGAGTGCAGACGTTCCTCTGTTTGGTTGCAGATAAAAGGAGAAAGTGAGTGTCTCGTGAATATGATGTCATGGCAGTTCCATGCAGTTTAGCTATGGCGATCAGCTGAGAATTTCTGCTTACACTGAGGGAGTACTCTCCTCTGTGAAAAACAAAAAGAGAAAAGCACCTAAATATGGCCAGAACCTGCTTTTTTATTCTCTACCTGAAAACATCCAGGCAGTTTTTTTTTATCATGTCATCATATGCTATAACGTATGGAATACTACATGATTCAGATTAGTGATCTAATTTAGAGGAAGATAGAACCCAGGGTATATGCATGTAGCATATATTAATTTATGTTTTTGACTATTATGAATATAATAATACATAAAAAAACAAATTCCAAGAACCACCACTGACCTGTTACTAAAATTGAGTCTAGTTGAGCAAAGCAGCTCCACAACAGATCTATCCCTTGTTCAAGTGCAACTTAACAGCAACTTCTAAGATAGCCACAAGCAAGGCCCATGCTTGTGCTTATTCTTAATCTTTTAAAACTATAAATTATGAAATGATGTTACGACATGCAATATAGCTGAGGGGAATCCTTGCATATGTGACTATTAAATATATATATATATATATTAGTATATATATATATATATATATATATATATATATATATATGAGTCAACTTTATTATGTTTTGTCCCATGAGCAACTAAATTATTAAATACCAAGAGCAAGAATGATTAAATAAACAGGCTTTTTTTCATCTCTAAAACCCAGTAAAATCTTTAAAGGGACAAGTCGCAAGTCCATTAATATTCATCTGAACCACAGCTACTCGCTCTTTTGCTCTCATTTTGGCTCAATCAGTGGAGACATGGACAGCAAGGCGACTAGTGGGCAGCAGCAATAAATGATTGAGTAACATATAGTTATAGTTGAAGACAAGTGCTGTTATAAAAAAGGAAAGAAGAAAAGTAGAAAATGTTCATTAGACCATGAAACTTGGCTCTTGCATAATCCACTGCCTACTGTCTGCTCCAGTGCAGCTGACATGTCTGCTGGCTCCGGGGCATAAGAGTAGTGGTCTCAGAGAGAGGATGGGAAGGAGATGAGGAGACGAGGTGAGACAGGAAACAGCTGGGGTTATTGCACTTCTTTAGAAGAATGGCTTCCCATTAATGACAAGCTAAAACTATGTTGGACTCAATCAAAACAGCAATTTGCAGAATAATACATAAAAAGGGTATATATTTTCAGCATTTCACAACAGAATTCATCATAATAAAAAAATAAAAAAAATGGCAGAATGCTGAAAAAAAGCCACATGTACAGCAGACAAGCTTGTTCTAAAGCACAGATGGCATTATTGCCTTTCAATATTGGGATTCTTTAGGGCTACAAAGGGGTTGTGAAGTGACACAGATCTCATTTTGATAGAGCAACACAGTTAGATTGCTATATTTGTGTATATATAGCGGGGCCAGATTGTCTCAGACGTCTGACAGCTCATCACGATGAGTGTATTGAAGTGTGAACTTGCTCAACTGAGAGGCAGGAGGCCGAGACCGGCAATACACGTTGCTGCATCAAGACAACTGAATATTGTAGTCTTATATCATAAAACTGCTAACACCGTTCAGTCCCTCCCATGAGCAGTTTTACATTTTAGGTAACAGCAGGAGATGGACTGAACAACAAATCTGGATTGTTTTTCAGTCGCTCAACATGCAACATAATAATCATTTCTGATGCTCGCAACAGTTGTTACAACTGCCTGTTTGCTGCAGTGGGGATTTACATGCATGCTAGTAAATGTGGCCTGAGCCTTTATTGTTATAGCTGTCATTTTGTTGCATTGGGGGGGGGGGGGGGGGG